CAACTTGAAAGTTCTCGTTCTGTAACAAAATCATCTGTGCTGACAGCAGGCTTTCTGATGCAAACTTCTAGCTGTACCAGCATGGTCCCAGGACGCATACCTACCTCCAACCAGAGGTCATGTGCCAAGATCTCCTAACACACCCAGGCCCATCACTCACTGCAGTCTTTCGTATGGCACTCTTTAACTACCTGTTACCTACTGCTGCACTTGGTTCCTATGGCATCTGTTAAAATACTGTTTACTTACTTGCAGTAGCGAAACAAAAGGTTCATTACAGACACTGTGATATTTAATAGAAAATCCCACAGCTTGGTCACCTGGGCTAAAAGTCAGGGAAGGACCATATACTGCTCGTTCTCAAAACAATGGCGGGGGGGGGGGGGGGCGCTTACCACACGACACAACAGCCAGGGCACTGTTTAAAAGCAATTGAAGGCCTTTTTTTTTTTTAATATTTGTGATTTTGAGCTAGGATTCTGCTTACCAATGGTAATTGCAAAAGGTTTTACAGACTGAGAAAAGCAGCAACTTTATTTTTGCTCACTTCTTGTGATTCCATTACTTTACCATGTATACTGTGCTTAAGTGATCTTACATCATATCATATACATCCTACAGAACAATATGCTTTAAAGAATGGAAATTGGTGGTGTACAACTATAATCCCAGCCACTGGGGAAGATGAGGAAGAAGATCTCAAATTCAAGGGATGCCTCAACAAGGGAGGGAGGCCTTGTCTCAAAAATAAAAAGGTCTGGGGATGTGGCTCAATGGTTTTTTAACAAGCTTTACCCACCTCCCCCATATAAATGTTATACTGACATGTTCAATACATTGCTAATAATCTCTTAAGATTGCTGATAATTCTTTATAATCTCTACACACTCTCCAAATAGAAAATGTCTACATGTGCCTTTCAGTCAGTATCCACCTTAATGATGAAAGGAACACTAATGGAGTGACACTAGAAGCCCAGGCACAAAATCATACACAGACACAAGGAGGCTGCAGACCCCACTCAGGAAAAAATGCACCAAACACATTCACATTTATTTTCTTTTTTTTTTTTTTAAGCAAATGACAAAGACCCAGTTTACTAGATTTTTAAACCTAAGCTTAACATTACATATTTAAACAATTGTCAAAACTTTACTAAGTTGCCAGCATTCATGCACAACTAGAAAACATCCTTAAATTTATATTAAACCAGAAATGTATTACCATTAATGCATTAATATCTTTCATTACTAAATACTGGAAAAAAAACAAAACCAAATTACTTCTACAGGAGCCTCATCCTGGCATTGTTAGCTCACAGCAGGCTGACACTACTTGGCTCACATGTCAAACACAATGGGAAGCAGATCCATGCTGGTGTTAGAATACAATCTTGTCCTAGCACTACTCAAAGTCAAGGCTCACCTTGGATTATGTTTAATAAAAAAGCAAAGTGCATACAGAGATTACAACAATTTTAAAGACAAAAAAAAATGGTCCTATTGTGTGGTCCCAACAATAAACTCAAAAGTCTATGACAAATAGGGGCTCCGATGAGCTGTTTATAAATACTTTTGATTAGGTACAATTATACTGAAAGTCGAGTTCGTCTGAAATCTTCAAAAAAATGTTCCTGTTAATCCTCAAATGGTGCTTGTTATAGTTTAACATTTCTGTTAAATGCGTGCGTTGAATTACTTGTTATCCAAGCGTAGCAGCTGCTCCTTACCATTTATCGTTAAGGACTTTAACTGGCCGTCTTCTTCAACTTCTACTCTTTCTTGACCATTCTCGACGATTCTGTAGGATAGAATTCATTTAAACCTCTTTTGTAAATGAACAAAATATTTATATGAGAGTGAATATAATACATATAAATTCACAAGGGCATTACTACAAAAGTGGTGTGCAAACTGGAAAACAAAGACAACCTATCGGTCTATCTTTCTTAAAACAGATTTATTCTGATGGGCACAGTGGTACATGCCTATAATCCCAGTAATTCTGGAGGTGGGGCAGCAGGATCCCAAATTTGAGGCTAGCCTTAGCAACTTAGCAAGACAATGTCTCAAAAAATAAAAAGGACTCGGGATGTGGCTCAGTAGTAAGGTGTCACTGGTTCAATCCCCAATACAAAAAACTATTTATCCTGAGAATAATAAATCATCCCAAATACTGCAAGGCTGACTGATAAATATATGCAGATACTGTTCATCAAAAATACTAAGGAACTCAGGAGCACTGATGCACACCTGTAATCCAAGTGACTGGGAGACACAAGGCAGGAGAATCTCAAGTTCAAAGCCAGTCCCAGCAATTTAGGATATTGCTCAGTGGTTAAGCAATCTTGAGTTTCAATTCCAAGTACCAATATAAGCAAGTAAAGCAGATCCTTTAAGGGTGATGACTGAGGTGTTCACACTGTTGTGTAAGGTGTACCTCCCTGCTAAAGCTAGAACTGGGGATGTGGCTCCATGGCAGAACGGCTTGCCTTGCATGCCAAAGGCCCCAGGTTTCAACCCCAGCACTGGAGGGGTGGCTGCAGCCCTGGTAAAGCACTTCCTAGAATGTATGAGGTTGAGACCCTAGCTTCCATTCTTCACAACAGGGCAGCAGGGAGAGGTGGCAGGGATGCACACCTGTCATCTCAACAAAGTGGGAGGTTGAGGCAGGAGGATCACAAGTTTCAGATCAGCCCATGAACCTGACTCAAAATAAATAAAAAGGGTCCAGGAGGAGGGGGCATGGAGGTAGGAAAGATGGTGGAATGGGACGGTCATGATTACATCAGTACATGTATGACTGCAAGAATGATGTGTCCCTACTTTGAGTACAACCAGAAGTAAAAAGAATTCTGCTCCATTTGTGTACATTGAATCGAAGAGCATGCTGGCGTCATGAGTAACTGATTAGAACAAACAAACAAATAAATAAATTTTTAAAAGAGTCAAGAGAGTTCAGTGGTAGAGCACCCCTGTGGTTCAATTCCCAGGACTACAAAAAATAAATTAAGGGCTGGGGATATAGCTCAGTTGGTAGAGTGCTTGCCTTGCATACACAGGCCCTGGGTTCTAAAATCCAACACCACATTTAAGGGGGGGAAAAATCTGCCCCTGGGGTGGACTCACAATACATTGAGGCAATAAATGAAGAAAAAAAAAAAGTTTTTTTTTTGATAAATTAAACGTAGAGGTTTTTATTTTTTTTAAGATGGATGGACCTTTATTTTATTCATTTATTTATATGCTGTGGTTAGAATCAAACCCAGTGCCTCACACATGCTAGCAAGTGCTCTACCACTGAGCCCCAGCCCCAGCCCACAACTAATGGTTTTTCATTTTATCATTCTAACAATGTTGGGAAAACTTATTACACATTATTACATATTAAATAAAGATCACTTCTAATAATTTAACAAAAAACACTGAAAAAAATCGCTGTCATATAACAAAATTTTTTTTAAATGAGGAAGAAAACATTGGAAAGAAAGATTCCAGCTAATTAAGAAATTTTTCATGCAGCTTATACTTCAGCTGACTGATAAGCAGTACACAACACCAATGAAACATTAAGCTGACATAATAAATATAAAATGCATAATTCCACTCTACCTTTTTGTAGTGATTTTTCTCCCATTTACTATTTTGGTAGAAGTTGATATTGATTTGAAGTTACTCATCCCGCTGCCACCAAATGATGTAGAAGAGAATGAAGTAAGGCCACCGTGACCTAGTGACCCAAATGAAGTAAATCCTATAGGAAAACAGAGAATAAAGATGACTGGGGGCTAATAATGACTAGTATTAATTCAAAAATAGGACTAAGTTCAAATTTAGCAGAAGACCATCTGATGTCGAAAGCCACACAAGAGCAGCTCTTGCCAAAACCACTGTAGCACAAGGGGCACTGAGAGGACTGGCAGTATCCACAACCAGGGGGTGGTCTGGCTGATTCCCTCTAGGCATCTCTCCCCACTCCCAAGTGGCTGAGACCTCACTGACACTCTAGCATGGCGGTGGGCCTCCCACTGTATCTACCTGGCACCCCATGGCACATGGGGCACCAACGGCAAAAAAAGAGGGAGTAAGCCGGCCCACAATAATACCTAAAGGCAGGATTGCTTAACACAAGCCCCAGACACTGGCTTAGATGAAGTGCCGTTTCCCTCATGTTTTCAACAACCTTGTTTTTGTATGCTCACCAGGCCCAGCCTGGCAAACTACAGACACCCACTGAGAGCTCTGCTGGGGAGAGCCAGGCACACCATGCACAGAAGCCCAACCAAGGCAGCTGTGTGCTGGGTAACATAGGTATCATGGTGAGGGGGAATGAACTCAACTGTGCAAAAAATGGCAATTCAAACTACCAAAGTTTAACTCAAGTCAGACCCAGGAGCACCCACCTCTGTAGGCACATCACCAACCACTGTGGCTGACCATGTGCTTGGGCTGGACACTTCAAGGGAACAGTCTGGCTAAGGTCACACACCCCAGGCCATGGGCCAACCCGCCAATCCCATCCAACTACACACTGCTTAGATGGGACTGTGCCCTTTTGTTTAACTGCAAGGGAGGCAAGAACACATGCAGAGTTTAGCAAGACTGTCCACTGCAGCTGCTTCATGCCTACTCAAACATGCATTACCCTTTTAGCCAGGAATTTCATTATATGGTATCCCTTATGAATGACTCACATTCTTGAATAATTAGGTCATTAAGCACTGATTTGTACACGCAAAATCCTGACAAATGCAAAAAGCTCTTCTCCTAAAAAGAATAAACATAATTCAAACTGCTCTAAGTGTTCTAAGCACTAATTTCTCCTCTAACAACAAATTAAATCTAGGGATTTAATACCTGTATCAAATGCAGAAAATCCACCTCCAAATGTTGGAAATCCACTGAAAGCGGAGAAAAATGAGCCTGCACCTCGGTTTCTGCTTCCTCGGGGACCTCTTCGGTTCCCAAAAAAGTCTTCAAATGTATCTTCTAGAAACAAACAGAAAGGTGTATTGTATAAATCTTTTAGATTTTTTTTTTCATGGGAGGAGGAAAAGAGATTAAAGCCTTAACTTACCAATAGATTTGGAGAAGAAATAAAACAAGTAGTATAACCAGGCCTTATCATGAGATACTTTCTCACTACCTTAATTCAAGTAAAGGCACATAACAAGGTAAACATTCGACACAGACCAAAAATGCACGCGTGCACACACACAAACTCAGGACTGCCCCGCATTTCACCAGAGCTGCCTGCTGCCTTTAGCTTAGTGTCCTAATGGGACACTGCTCCTGGCGACGAGACCTGATTTCACACACAGGTAGCTGTACCCAGTGAACCCAAGCTGCCTTCTTCAGGGAATTAAGACACAACATGAACTACTGGAGCATTATAAACTCAGAATGGGGCACCAAGTAGGCAATGTTTAAGTAGCCCACGAATCTAGCCAAGAAGCCCAAGAACACCTTTCACGTTTCTGTAAGATGATGTTTCAAAAACGATTTTTTTAAGTTATTAGTTTAAGTACAATCTAAACCAGTGTTAACTGTCAAACATTACACTGTGATTGAAGCAATTTTAGTAGAAAATTATAGACATCAGTGGGTATCTCATTGATAGCTCAAATACCAAAATGCTCCAAAAATCAAAAATAAGACGTGTAGATTCTTTGAATTTATTTCTATGCTTCCAAACCTAGGTCAAGAGTTCCTGGTTTCTGCACTACACAGGAGCTGAAAAAAACTATCAGGGAAAAAAGTTAGCATACCAAAAGCCAGGAAATGAAACCACTGACATTAAGGGATGTGGTCATTGATTTTTCTGAAGACAATGGAAATGCCTGGACCCTTCTCAGCAGACATTATATGGAGATGTGGTGTTAGAGACCTATAGAAACCTACTCTTTATTGAAATATGGTCTCCTTGATTTGCTTAGCACCTTGCTATTGATGAGGCTGGCTTTGAACTTACAATCCTGCTGTCTCAGACTCCCAAGCTGCTTGAATTACAGGTTTTTTTTTTTTTTTAGACTTCTAATCAAAACCAAGAATTTTCAGGAGAGCAAGAAATAAACTATTTTTTGCAAAACTTGATAAAGCAAAGGTATGGAAAGCAAGACAGTTAATACCTGGTTTTAAACAAGAAATAGAAATTGAAAGAGAGGGAGGTTCAGAAAATTTGTCTTAATGAAGGGAAAAAAATGAAAATTATTTATGCAGAAAATTACAAAGTCATCAGGTTATATTATTACAAACATCCCAGAAGACTGACTGCTCAACTTGTGCCATTTACTTTTTCTTTGGTTAAAACTTTGAATTACATTATTGTAATTGTAAAATTTTTACTACTCAGTATTTTGTGTAAAACCACTTGCAATACACAATATTTTCAAATGCAAAAACATGTATCAAACTACATTTATGCATTGTTTACAGGGCATTATGAAGCTGTATCTTACAAATACCGTTAAGGAAATAAAGATTCAACCAGCTTGCTCAGCTTTAGAAATAGGATTAGAATAGAAATAGGCATTTTAATAAAAAAAAAAAATCAAAACAGTAATAAAATGCTTATAATCAGTTATGTTTTTAAAACTTTTAATAATCTCTACATAAGTTCAGGTTAGAAAAAAGTATACAGATCATTAATTTAAAATTGCAGTATTCTAATCTGTCAGCTTTATGAAGTAAGAAGGTGATTTTCTACACAGTATAGACAAATTGTCTTATCATTTAAACACATGCATAGTAAGTCTACTTAAAGAAAAGAAAAACATGAAGATTAAGGAAATGCTGCAGTAAGCCTTACTAAGATACTTCTGTTGAAAAGGACAATTAAATGTGTTTACAGTGGAAAAAATAAAAATAAAACGTGTATTGACAAATTAAGAATGAATAATTTACCCTAAATCCAGCGATGCATTTTTTATTTGCAGATTGACAATATCCTTATTTTGTTATTTTTTTATCTTGTGATGAGGATCGAAACCCAGTGTCTCACATGTGCTAACCCAGTGTTCCACTCAGCTACAACCCCAGCTCCACAACACAACCTTTAGAAGATGAGCTCCGAAAGTTTTTCTTTGCAGTGGTAATCAAGGACAGCTTCACTGAAAACACAATTTATACATACTACTTCGTAATTTAGCTGGGTTCTCAGTGATAAAGTACTGTGTTTTTCTTCCAGAAAAATGGAAAATGTACAAGGAATAAAAACAAGTATTCCTGATAAACATGAATGCATGTAGACAGAATCCATCCAGAACACAGAACAACATAATTAGTGTGGCATGCATCCAAGCCAGAGGGCAAGAGAGGGCAAACCAGGAAGCGCGTATGCCAAGAGTCAAAAATGTGACAGCATGCCCACCACTGCACACAGCCAGCCAATGACTCAGGAACGACGCAGGTTTATAAGTCAACTAGGCCCAAGAAAAGCTGCAGCAACTGGAAAGGGGAGAAGCAATACCCTAGGGAGGTCTAGAGATGGAGAGAAGCAGACACTGAGGAAGCTCAAGGACAGATGGGAACAGGCAAGTGACAGACGGATACACTAAGCCGGACATGCCTGTAATCCCAGCTGCTAGGGAGGCTGAGGCAGGAGAGTCACGGGTTCAAAGCCAGCCTCAGCAAGGTGCTAAGCAACTCAAGGGAGACTATAAATATAAAAAAAGCTAGGGATATGACTCAGTGATTAAGGGCCCCTGGGTTTAATCCTGGGTGTACACACACACACACATACACACACACACACACACGACCTTAAGAATATTCTGGCTGGGTGTGGTGGCACACACCTGTAATCCCAGCTGATCACTGCAGAATGAGGCATAAGCCACCAGTTCGAAAGCAACATCGGCAATTTAGCAAAGCCCCGTCTTAAAAAATAAAAAGGGCTGGGGACATGGCTTGGTACTTAATCATCCCAGGTTCAATCTCTGGTACAAAAAGAAAAAAAAAAAACAAAACACCCAGAACTATTCTGAACAAGGAATGCCCAGTCAGCTCCACCTAAAGGTAAGCTCAGGAATACAGAGTTTAAAGTCCTGCATGCAGAAAAGTGGGCACTGTTTGCTGGTTCTAAGAGCTAAAGAGGCCAGAAGAAGGGGAGGCAGAATATGCAACAGGGCATGTGAACACGTCCACCATGGCATGGACCAGGCCAGGCACGGGTTGGGAGTGGATAGTGGTGCTACCAAACCCTGCACCAGGCAAAGGAGTGGGAGGAGCTTCTACAGTTAACAAGAGGTTAAACCCACTGATTGATGATGTAGTTCCCACCTTCCACAGCAGTCGTCACCCCATAGGAAGTTCAGGTATGAGCTTCCATGTAAAGAGATCTGAATGTCCCACTTGCTCTAATACTTGAAAGAAAACTTAAACTATAACCCTCAACTAAATCTAGTAACATGTCATGCTTTTGCCAGAGGATAAAACTTTCATATAATCCAGATAAGATCTGTGCATTCTACTTGTGCCACCAGCTGTCAGTGCCAGCATGCCAGCTGCACTCCACCTGGGTGTCCCCACAGAACAGATTGACAACCTGGACAAGAAATGTGACAGCTACAGTGAAAATTTGTTATGTGAGCCGGACACAGTGGTCCACACCTATAATCAAAGCAGCTTGGCAAGAGGATCCTAGTTTAAGAGCCAGACTCCCAAAACTAAAATAAAAGACAGGCTGGGGGTCAGATGTAGTGGCACACACCTGTGATCCCAGCAGCTCAGGAGGCTGAGACAGAAAGATCAGGAACTCTGAGCCAGCCTCAGCAATGGCGAGGCACTAAGCAATTCAGTGAGACTCTGTCTCTAAATAATATACAAAATAGGATGCGGAGGTAGCTCAATGGTTGAGTGCTCCTGAATTCAATTCCTGGTCCCCCCAACACCAAGGGAAAAAAAAACACCCTTCCTATGTGATAGAAGTTCTCTTGTTCTCGTTTAGGAGGTGACCATCTCAAACCTTCTACATTTGGGGTGCTGATTTGATCCAAGATGGTATCAGAGACATGGCCACTGGACCCATACCCTACCAGTAGGAACCTGAGAGGACAGCAGATTCTTGCATGCCCTTCTGCTCCTGCTTAAAGATGACATCATGTTACTTCTGCCACAGGGGGATTAAGAGCTCTACAAAAGACACTGCCCCCAACACTGTTCCTACAAAGCCTGAATCTAAACCAGGGGACAACTTCTGTATGCAGGTAAGGGTATGGCTCTCTGAACCTTTAGGTGGTCCACAACAAACATTAAAAGCTTATGAATCAGGCACACAGTAATGCATGCCTATAGAACTCCAGCTACACAGAATGAGGCAGGAGCATCCCAATTTTGAGGCAGCCCGGGCAATTTAGATAGACACCAAAAATGAGCGCACATTCATTGGTGGAAACCCCTATGTGCCATCTCTAGTAGCGTGTCAAAAGGGGCAGCGTAAAAACCAAACAAACAGATCTGATACTAATGCCTTCCTTGGTGGGGTGGGTATAGAAGGATAAACAGGAAATGCCACAGAGAGCTGACTGCTGGCTTCATTTCAAAAACAGCACCTGAAACCTCACAGAACATCTCAAGCTTGCTGCAGGGGTGGCCAATGCCAGGTTCTCATGGCAAAGACCACAAGTTTCAAAATGACCTTCCCAAGAAAGCCGCTGCTTGTGAAGAAGGGCAGAGGAAGCAATGTGCTGAATCACTTGAGACACATGCAGAAGCAGGTAAGAATGCTGCATCGCACGAGGGCAAGCCATTCCCAGAGGCCAGCTCCCCAGCACACACTGAACCAGACTCAGATGTGGTGTGCACCAGAACAGCTCCCCAAGGAATGGACTCATCTGGGAAGTTACAGGCAGAGAAGCGCTGAGCTACATGCAAAACCAAAACCCCTAAAAACATCTGTTTATAAATGAACTTTAAATTTTCTTTCTAGCTTTCTTAAACTTCATTTGTGTAGGTGTCATATGCATGATATTTGTAAATATCCAAGGACACTTGCTCCCACGTGAACCACAGCAGTGCCTTCAGCTATGATCATAAATCCACATGAAGACTAAACCATCTTAACATGCCTTTTCTAAAGTCTGCTGCTAGCCAGGCACTGTGGCGACTACCTATTATCCTGGTGGCCTGAGAGGCTGAGGCAGGAGGATCACAAGTTCAAAGCCAGCCTCAGAGAAAGTGAGATGCTAAGCAACTCAGTGAGACCCTGTCTCTAAATAAAATACAAAATAGGGCTGAGAATGTCACTCTGTGATCGAATACAATCCCTGGTACAAAAGTGAAAAAAGTCTGCTGCTAGTTTCTAAAATGAACAGACTACGACAAAAACCTAAGTGACTCTGCTTAGAAAGTCTATTACAGGTTGAATTATGGCCCTTCAAAAAGATTCAACCAACGAATGGTATCTTATTCACAATTAAGTCTTGGCAGATACAAGTTACAAGAAGTCATTGGTCTGAGTCTAGTCCAACTGGTGCCACTGTCAAAAGGAAACGTGGACACAGGTAGCTGCAGAGTGGGATGAGCAGACACAGGAGAAAAGCACCCAACAAGCCAACATCCCTATGGGGCCACAGGGGACTGGAATCAGTCTGGGACAGCTTCTCCCTCCCCTCCAGGAGGAATGGGCTCTGCTAACGCCTCATCTTGGACTTGACCTCCAGCACTATGAGAGGGAAGTTTGTTAAACCACTCAGTTGGAGGTACTTTGTTACAGGAGCCCCTGGAAACTCGGTGCTTCAATAACCCACCCTTCTTTAACCATATCTCCAAGGTAGCAAAGGTCACGTGACCAAGTATACTACCAATGTGATAGAAGAAATTTTCTCACTCTGAATAAACTTTAAAATAAACTAAACTTTCTTATAAAGCAGAGACGGGGCAGTTCCTTTTGCAATTTATTGTTGAACAAGTAGTGCCTCAAGTTCTGGCCCACTGTACTGCTCCTCCTCGCTCAGCAGCTCCTCGCACTCCTCGCTGAACTCCTCTGTGTCCCCAGGGCTGGCTTCCTCCTCGCTGGATATGAGGTCCAACTCCTCACTGAGAAGTTCACCCTGGCCCCGGCTACAGCCTTCGCTTGGCTCTTCTTCACTAAAGAGGTCCAGCTCCTCGCTGGATATCACATCCAAAACCTCACTGTTCTCGTCACTTGGAGAATCTTCCACTGCCTCCTCAAAACAGGGCTGCTCTAGTTCTTCACTAGGCTCCAAGTCCTCACTGGCCACTTCCTCGAACCCTAGGGAGTAAAACGACTGACTCACTACACCAAATTGAGATCATGGCTCTGTAAAGTCAGCCTATTTTCACCCTCAACACAAGGCTCCTTCCTCCCCAACAGCGGGCTGCCCTTGGCTCTACCCACGGGAAGTTCCCCACTGCTACAAGGGTTTCCTTCACCGAGGCTGGCAAGACCAGAGTCTTCATAGAGAAAGATACACGGGAGTGCCAGCATGACAAGGCTCTCTGGGAAAGTCCTCCCACTCTGCTTTGGCTTTCTGAAGTGAGAATATAAATAAAAATGTTAATTAATACCCAATGTTCCAAACAATCATTCTAATGGATCAATAAAAGGCCTACTGTCCATGGGCACAGAGGCACACACCTGTAATCCCACGACTTGGGAGGCTAAGGCAGTAGGATCATAAGGCAGAAGCCAGCCTCAGCTACTTAGCAAGGTCTTATTAAAGCAAATAGGGAGAACCTGTCTCAAAATAAAAAATTAAAAGCACTAGAAATGTGCTCATTGGTAAAGCACCCCTGGGTTCAATCCTTGGTATCAAAAGAAAAGGCCTACTATTACCAAGGACTTTGGCATCCAAGAACAACACTGGTGTCCTGTGATGAAAGACAAATGAAGGTAACATCCTCATTCAAATTGGCTTCCAATTAACATTTTGAAAAGGGCCCATATGCATGTGCTCTATATTGTGGAAAAAATTTAAACAGAACTGGGAGCCTCAAATATTCCGAGCCAGTACTGTTTCAGGGCTGCTGGCAGAATCCACCTCTCTTAGCTTTCCTGGGAGATCTGCTAACTTTAGGATGTCAAAAGTAGTTAAGTTCCCACAGGACCCTAGGCCACCCTTTGCCCTGCTCCTCAGTTCTCTGGTTCTGAGGCCCACCCCCAAAACCTGGACCATCTCAAGTTCCCCCAAGGAGTCCTGTGCTCTTGTCATGAGAAATGCACGTATAGCTCAAAACCATCTTGAAACAGAACTTTTCCTTTGCCCAGGCTGAGCCAGGAAAGGTGGAGCATGCCTGAAATCCCAATGACTCAGGAGGCTTGGCAAGAGACTCCAAGTCAGCAACTTAGTGATGAGTCTGTCTCAAACTAAAAACGACTGGCTAAGTAGTAAACCACCCTCGGGTTCAATTCCCAATTTAAAAAAAAATAAAATTGCCCTGGGTGGCCTTGATTTTGAAATCATTTTTTATTTATTCATTTTTGCGGGGGGGTGGGGGAAGTGTTCCTGGGGAATGGAAAACAGGGTCTCACGCATGCTAGTTAGGTAAGCACTCCATCACTGAATCTCTGGCCCTAATAATTAATTTTTATTTTGAGACAGGGTCTAAGTCATCCAGGCTGTCCTCACTAGTAACTCTCTTTGTCTGCCTGTGAGCACACTGGGCAGATTTTTCATTAGATTCTCACTATGTTGCCTGGGTTGGCCTCAAACCTTCCTAATCCTTTCTTTAGCCTCCCAAGCAGCCGGGATTACAGGAACGAGCCAGGGCACCCAGGTATCTGACGACGGAGTTTAAAGTACTTCTTTTGAAAGCCAAACAGAAACAGGGAAAAAGGTGATATGAAAAATTAAGACTAAAAAATACTTTGCTACAATAAATGGACTCTGTAATGGGTTGTGAAAATGACATCGATTCTGATAAACGTTGACCAAGTCCCAGCCCTGTATACCACTCCGCTCTATACCACACATACCGCCAGGAGGCTGCACAGTCACCTCGTACACGTAGTAGCCATGGTGCAGCTTCTTTTCCTGTATGTAAATCCTTACAGCCTGAAAATGGAAGTCCCCTAGAACACCTACAAGAATGGATTGGAGAAGCATCACTGCCGGGAAGCACCTACTGTCAAACCTTGAGCCGCCACCGGGGAGTCAAGCACCTAAGAGTAGTTTCAGTAAGCTTAGCATCATTTTCGACTAGTAAAAATAATTACTCATTCACTTCTAATTATAAGCCCTATATCTTCTTTAGAAAGAAACAGTCAAGGAGCCAGGCAGGGTGGCACACACCTGTGATCCCAGGGACTCAGGATCTCAAGTTCAAGGTCACCCTAGCAAAAGTGAGGCATCTCAGTGAGACCCTGACTCAAAAACCAAACAAGGGCTAAGGATGGAGCTCAGGGTCAAGAGCTCCTGGATTCAACCCCAGCATGGGAAGGGGGGGTGAGCGGAATATATATGAGTGTGTTTACACACATAAATCTCAAGTCATTTTTAATGAGGCGGCTAATGCATCAATATTTTTCTTAAGGAAAACATTGGGTGCACAATTCGTCACTAGGGGACATTTTCCCCCTTTAAAAGAACTTTTAATCATGTAAGATAAAATTATCACTTAAGGAACTTGGCCTTCTGAGAAGGTGCTTCATCTCCTGAATCAAGACCCAGGGGTCAGAAATGTAGGTCTCTTCCTCCTTAGCCACCAGGAGACTTGTGGCTTTGGGAACATATACTATAACCCTAACACTGCCTTGGCCTGCAAAACCAATAAAGTGGAGCTTGCTGGAGCCTATGGTGTGACATGTGATATTCAAGGCAGAACCAGTGGGTCAATCCTCCTTTCATGAAATATCTCTTGCCTATTAGGGTCAAGTGACATGGATATAAATATGGTTCTCTTTCCTATTATATGGTGTCCTTTAATTGAAATGCTTGGGACCAGAGGTATTTCAGATTTGGAGTATTTAAACAAACCCTTAGCAGCTGAGGATTTGTAACCTAAAATTCAAAACCAGAAAAGCTCAAAGATCCCAAGCTTTCTGAGCATTACAGACATGTACTCTTTATAGGGAGCCCTCACAATACATACGGCAGCAGTAAAGTCAACTCTTCCTCTATGTAAAGGCAACGTATTCTCCTCTGACCCTAATCTGAATGTTCTGCTTTGATTCAGCAGCTGCATTTGCCTACAGGCATGCTGGAAGGTACTCAGTATTATTCCCTCCTGCAATAAGGTATGCTCAGAGTCAGGACATGCCATATTAAAGAACAAGGACACTATGAATCTCCACTGCGGATCACCTCGACTGCATCACGTAATCTTCAAGAGGCCCAAGGCAACCTACCAGATCCAGTGACAACCTGCTCCTCTTCATGCCCATGACAAGCAGGGACTCCACTTATCTCCCTGTTATTACTGGTAGACACAACTGCTCTTCCTTCTTCCCTCCTGGGGTCTGCCAGTGGTGTTCAGTCTCTTCAACTGTGCTCCAATCAATGAAGGAGGCAAACACAAGATGTGTTTACCCGCCCAGTGCACAAAAGACAGAAATGGCGGCGGCAGCACACTTAACCCTGGCCTCCCAGGTTACCCGGCAAGCATCAAACACAGGAAGCTTAGAAACTAGAATGGAAATTCTACTAGCAGACAGCTAACAAGAATACCTAATGTGCAGTTCATATCCTAGACATAACACAAAACCTGGGATCAGGCACCAGGACAAAAAAAAAAAATATTTCCTACAACCCAGCAGTTGTGAACAAACAGTCTCTTTTAGCAAAACTACTCTCCAAGACACTCTGCTGCCTTGATCCAGTAAAAGTCCTTTCTTCACAAACTGTGGCTTCAACCATTATAACACTCCCAGACAAAAAAGAAGGCAAGTTCATAATCGAATGTCCTCTAAACAATGTCCGTGACACTTAAGGATTTCAAGAGGAAGATTCCATGACAAATTCCTACAGAAACTGGTGTTTGAGAGGGGAGCTAGACATGTAGCTGAGGCGAGGAGTACATGTTTTTACAAGGCCCTGGGTTCCATCCCCAACACCATAGAGGAAACAGCGTTTCCAATCTCACCACTGCCTTGCCTGAGAGGGCAAAAGCAAAATAAAACCACACAGAAATCTTTACTCTCCAAGAAGTTAATAAAACAAAATCTCTGAAGAGGGCAGATATGTTCTGACTGCTCCTGCTCAAACAGAAAAGTTAATAACCCAGGCACAGCACCCCATAGCAAGGTCACCACCAGCCCTCACCATGTCATGGACACACCACACATACCACAACTGACCACCACAGGAAATTCACTTACCAAAGAAGTCGAAGGAAAATGGGTCCCTTCCACCAAAAAAGTCCCTGAAGACATCATCTGGGTTCCGGAATGTGAAGCCAAACTCAAATGGACTGTCAAAATGACTTCCACCTACATAAACATAGCATAGCTTTAGTATATAAGAATTCTGGTGCCTATAAGCAAATATTTTTGTAAAACATTATATGAATCATGACCTAGAAAGAAAAAAGAACCTATTTTATATATCTGGGGTTCTTTGAAATTCAAAATGATTCCTACTGTTATTGAAACTCTGTGCTCAGAATGTCCCACCAGCAATTCCTTCATTACTACTTCTGAGCAGCTCCCAATCTGGGATCAGCATGTCACTGCTGATTTTATTACTTAGATCTATGAGAAACAAGACTGTATTCACCCAACTTTCCTACTGTTACAGCTTGAACACATGGGCTCAGCGCAGGAGTTCAGAGAGCACCACTTGTCAGACCACCACAGGGGCTTTCGAAAAACACACTTTTTAGCTTTTCAGTAATCTTCTCTTCAAACCCTGATGGAAAATTTACTTACTAATACTGATTACTAGTCTAACAGTATAAGCTCACAGGATGACAGTACAAAATAATGAACAATTTCCTATGTATATAAAGTTATATCAACATAGACTTTCTGGTCTAACAAAGATTAATAGGTTTGTTTTTTCTTGTTCTTGTTTTTGTTTTTAATGCTGTCAATTTCTCCTTCCCCTACCCAATTCAGTCCACTTCTCAGGCTGCATCTATATTTAGCAAACAGGCTGACCAAGAAACTCAGTAATTTACAATTCAAACACTGAACTGAACTCCAAGTCAGAGGATGACTGTCAAGACCTTTGTCTCTAGAGAGGAAATCCATTTACATACCTCCACCTCCACCATTTAAGCCTTCTTTGCCATACTTGTCATAGATGTCCCGTTTTTTAGCTTTAAATTTGAAAACAGAATTATTAGGGCCAAGTTCTTTTCAAATCCTCAAAATTCAATCAATAAGGTAAATTCAAGTAATAAGGCATTTCCCAAATTGTAAATGAGGTCTCAGTTTTTCATGAATTTTAAGTCTGCCCTTGCTTTAAAAGACAAGAGGAACAGGAGAAGGACCTTATATATATATACCCCGTTCTGAGAGAAGATGAGGAAAACTCTTTAAGCACTGTTCTTTAGAAATTATTAATGTCTATTCGGTTACATCATTTTACTTTACTGCTTAGAGTTCATGCATACATCACAATCAACCCGTCCTAGCATACATGAGGCTATAGATGGGGGGGGGGGGGGGGAGGAGACCTATCATATAACCAAGCACAAAACTATTCCTACCTAGAACAGAAGTGATCCCCCTTAACTACAAAGTCCAACAGGGGATCAGGTCTGTGCCCTAGGTAGGCTGAAGAGGAGCTGCCCTCAGCCTGCAGGCCTGGCTGCTCATCCCCAGATCTCCAGGACCAAGAGAGCTGTAGCACAGCGCTATGGACACACCAGTGCTGACTGCACACCACCACCTGTGTTCCCTGAAAACCTTATTCCACAGAGTGGGCAGCAGGTTTAGAAGATACCCATTTGGGGTTACCAAGCCCTACCTCTGAAAACTTCACCTATGGCGGAAGGCCAGCCATGGTACATGACCAACACAGATTCCACCCAGAGACTTTCATGACTACTTAAAGGTTCTTTCCACTGAATATGAAGCCTCAGTGCACTCCTCAACACAGCTAATGTCAGAAGTGCCTGAAAACCTTCAGTGTGGGAGCATGGCATGGTCACACTATCAGCAAGACAGGACCCGAGACGGAGTCTTCAACACCCTTCAGGCCCCATGTCCCATCTGCAATTTATGTTCTTAAATGCCACATTTAGGGGCCGGGGTTGTGGCTCAGTGGTAGTGTGCTCGCCTAGCATACATGAGCCACTGGGTTCGACCCTCAGCACCACATCAAATTGAAATATAGTGTGTGTCCACCTACAACTAAAAAATAAGTATTTAAAAAAAAAATAAATGCCACATTTCAAAGTTTTCCATATCAACACAGTGTTTTGATAAGCAAGGTATCTGAGACTCATCGCTTATGAGCAGCGTTGATGCAGCAAGGAGGCAGTATGCTGGTGACTGCTGAGAAGGTCACACTGGGCTCCTTTCTCAAACAGCCAACTGTCACCTGACCACACACAGAACACGTGAGGCTTTGGCCCATTTCCTGTGGTCAGTTAATCAGTCCCTACCCTGCTAACCTCCTCTGCCTCTGCCTTACCCAGAGTGTAGGTAGTAGATTCCAGTCTCTGTCACCATTCCCACCAGGCCCCTGCAGTCTTGCCTTCACCATGAATCACTGAAACCATCTCACCAATAACTGACCTTTAACCTAGTCACAAAACTAAGCCAATGTTTCTGCCATCAATACCTATGCTCTAGAACTAGGGTGGAGAAAACACAGAGGTTTTGATGCTTCATTCTGAGCTGTATGTTCCCTTCCTTCTTTACTGAAAGTCCACTCAAGCAGTAGAACTTACTCCATTAACATGGTATACTTCCAAGTAAGGCAATGAGGATGAGAGGACAGCAGGGGCAAGCACAACCACATGCAGTGACCGAAGCAGGGCCCTGCAAGCTGGGCAAGGTGGCACATGCCTGTTATCTTAGCCATGTGGGAGGCTGAGGCAAGAAGACCATAAGTTTGAGGCCAACCTCAGCAACTTAAGGAGACCTTATCTCAATGGAAGATAAAAATGGTTGGGGATGCAGCTCAGTGGTAGAGTATTCCTGGGCTCAATCTTGAGTACTGCCAAAATACAAAACAAAACAAAGCCCTGCAACCCAACCCCAACCCCAAGCCCAATGTCTTCCTCAGCTCCTCCAAGCCAGGGCATTCCTACTGTTCTACCAAAGTCATCCTGAGTGCTCCTCAACACTTTTGGCTAACTGGGTACGTTCCAAGCTTCACCAGAAAGAAACATTCTCAGTGGTCTCAAAATCCACCTGGTGACAGGATGTGTGTCCACATCCTGCTAGGCCAGAGGAAGGCTTCACTGCCTCTCCATTCCCAGTTCTACTTCACCCACTCAGAGCCCTCCCCTGAAATTCAGCATTACTCACCATCTGATAACACCTCATATGCCTCAGCTACTTGTTTGAATTTTCTCTCTGCTTCTTCTTTATTCTCAGGATTTTTATCTGGATGCCACTTTAGTGCAAGTTTCCGGTATCTTGGGAAAAGAGCAGAATATTTATCACATATGTCCAAAGTCCATAAAACAAGTGAGCTTTTAAAACTAACATAATTTAGCCAAACACAGTGGCACATGCCTAGAACCTTAGCCAACTCACGAGGCTGAGGCAGGACAATCCAGAGATTAAGGTCAGCCTCACCAAGTTAGCAAGGCCCTAGGCAACTAAGCCAGACCTCATCTCAAGTTAGAAAAATAAAAAGGGCTGGGGATATGGATCAGTGAGTAAACAGCTCTGGGTTCAATTCCCAGCACCAAAAAAATGAATGAATGAATAAATAGTAAGATAAAAAGTCCTGGGAGGGACTGGGGTCGTAGTTCATTGGCAGAGCACCTGCCTAGCATGAGTGAAGCACTGGGTTTGATCCTCAGCACCATGCAGAAATAAATAAAATATGGGCTGGGGTTGTGGTTCAGTGGTAGAGCGCTAACCTAGTACAAGAGAGGCACTGAGTTCAATCCTCAGCACCACATAATAAATAAAATAAAGGTATTGTGTTCAACTACAACTAAAAAAGTTTTTTTTAGTTAAATAAATAAAATAAAGGTATTGATCCATCTACAATGAGAAAAAAAAAAATCTTTAAGGAAAAAAAGGCCTGGAGATTCGCTTCTGGGTTCTTTCCCCAAAACAAAATACAAACAACAACAACCACCTTCCCCCCCCCCAACGCCCCCAAAAAAAGCAACAAGTTATTTGTAATACCAACCTCCAGAGTTGTCTAACCTGTATACCAGCAGGTCAGTATCAAAGGAGAAAACCCTGGCCTGTGATTCAAATGCAGGGGAAGCTGAGTCCAATGGTGCCAACCTGTAAACCCAGCAGCTTGGGAGGCGAAAGCAGGAGGATCAAAAGTTCAAACCCAGCCTCAGCTGCTTAGTGAGGTCCTAAGCAACTTAGGAAGACCCTGTCTCAAAATAAAAAAGGGCTGGGGATGTTGCTCAATGGTTAAGCAACATCCCCAGCCCTTTTTTATTTATGGGCTCAACCAGGTACAAAAAGGGGGGCTGGGAGATAGCAGCCACACCCTCTTAGTCCTCAAATAGAAACTATCAATACACGCAGCAAAGCTAACAGCCACCCCGTGGTTATCATTTTGCTCATGTGAAAAAGCTAATATTTATGCAACTTAATAGGGAAAATTTGTTGCTTTCAAAGGTAACCGCCTGTTTCTAAAGTTACGTTTAAATCAACCTGCATGTACTTAGCAAAATCAATCTGCTCTCCAAAGCTAGTACGCCAGGCATGTGATTCCATCAGTAAATAAAATTACTACACGTTTATTCAAAAATATTATTCAAAAGTATTGCGAGGCATGGTGGCGCACGCCTGTAATCCCAGTGGCTTGGGAGGCAGGGGCAGGGGATGGAGTTCAAAGCCAGCCTCAGCAAGACACTGAGGAATTCAGTGAGACCCTGACTCTAAGGTAAAATACAAAACAAGGGTGGGGATGTGACTCTATGGTTCAGTCACCTTGAGTTCAGTCCCCCTGAGATCAATCCCCGGGGGAGGGGGAGGGAAGAAGGAATTCAACTATCTCTCTGTTCCACTGTTCTGTCTCTCTGTAAAAGTGGCTATTAACTAAAACAAATATAAGAACAGTGTAGACCTAGCGTAAAACCCCACAGCCTCCCATCCAGGATGTGCAAGATACTCACACTCCAAAGTGACAGTACCCAGGCCAGCCTGGTCTCTCCTCAGTGGACTGTGCTGACCAGCTAGCCTCTTGGCTGGGTCTGAAACAGGAGACACTGACAGCTATCTTAACCTAACTGGTTGACTGGTTTGAAGCACTTCTGTGGATGGAACCAAAGGACTTAGGCATGCCAAGCATCTTCTCTACAACTAGGTTACATTCCCATCCCTAATTCTTTTTTTTTTTTTTTTAAATAAAGTTCGTTTCTTTTTTTTTTTTTTAAAGAGAGAGAGAGAGAGAATTTTAATATTTATTTTTTAGTTATCAGCGGATACAACATCTTTGTTTTGTATGTGGTGCTGAGGATCGAACCCGGGCCACACGCATGCCAGGAAAGCACGCTACCGCTTGAGCCACATCCCCAGCCCCCCATCCCTAATTCAACTTTTTTTTTTCTTTTGATGGGGGAGGGAGGTGCTGTATATCAGGGCTTGAACTCAGGGGTACTTGGCCACTGAGCTACATCCCCAGCCCTATTTTATATTTTATTTATTTAAAGACAGAGTTTCACAGAGCTACTTAGCGCCTCGTTTTTGTTGAGGCTGGCTTTGAACTCGCGATCCTCCTGCCTCAGCCTCCCGAGCCGCTGGGATTACAGTTATGTGCCAAGCTCAATGTTTTGAAAGGACTATTTCTGCTCCAAATGAAAGGGGGGGGGACCCTTTTCCCATTTAGAAGTTTAGACTTCATCATATATTGAAGAGTTTTTTTAAAGTTGTTTGAAAGTCTTGTTCTCAGTTAACACCTCAATGAACTGAATGGATCCAGAGTCCTTTGGAGCCATATGCAACCTGGGACTCGCCCTGTTTGCACAGACACAGGCACAGTGGGCAGTGAAGGAGTTCTCAGCACTCATGAGGGTCAGCAGGAATATAACAGCGGCATGGGTTAGGCTTCAGGTCTGGCCCCTACCCTGCCTGAAAGGGGTGCGTAAGAGTGACAGTCAACAGCACCGCTGAGTCCAATGCAAAGGGTTTGAGAGATTTTCACATTCTCAGTCCAAAAAAAGGAAAAAAAAAAAAAAAAAAGAAAAATCAAGGAGCAAGGTGTAGTATTAGAGACTTAACCCGAGAGTCCCCCAACCTGAGCTCTATCGCCAGTCATTTCTACTGTTTGAGGCAGGGTCTCACCAAATTGCAGAGGATGGCCTCAAAGTCAATCTCTTAAATCACTGGGATTACAGGCATGCATCATTTGTCCTGGGGCCTCTCAATTTTAACCTACTTCAGGCATATAAGGAATTCAGTCCCAAAGCAAAGGAACAATAACTAGACAACCTTACTGATAAGTAAACTGTAAGGCCATCTAATTCAAATGCTCATCTGTATTGTTTATGTATTAAAATTGCATGAACTAGCCAGGTACAGTGGTATATTCTTGTAATCCCAGAAACTCAGAAGACTGAGGCAGGAAGACTCCAAGTTCAAGGCCAGCCTCAGCAACTTAATGATGCTCTAAGCAACCTAACAAGACCCCGTCTGAAAAATATTTTTTTAAAAAAGGTGGGGAGGGGTTGGGGGGTTTTAACATCACACCTGGGCTTAATCCAATATAAAAAAAAATTAATTAAATAAACTGTGGCATTCATTGATGATATATTACATTAAAAGCCATTTTAGAATTAGGGTTATAGTGCAGTGGCAGAGCACATGCCTAGCATGTGAGGTCCTGAGTTACAATCCCAACATCACAAAAGAAAAACAAAAAAAGCCATTTTAATAAGTAACAGTTATACTATCCACTTACCAATGTATGCTTACACATTATCTTATATATCATTTCAGAAATAAATCTACTTACGCCTTTTTGATATCCTCGGGTGAGGCATGTCTCTGCACGCCTAGAACTTCATAGTAATCCACCATGTTTTAACAGATTGTTAGAACAACTCCTGCAATTAAAAATGTGTGGTCACTGACAAGACTGCCAAAGTTGGGTGGCTCAAGAGGGTAAGACCTGTGAGGGGGACAGGAAGATCACCTCTGTACCTACTGACCCACAGGGAGAACTTCTGTTCCTCAGACACTAGCTTGTCAGTCTGGGCCTAGTCTGGGAACTGGTTCAAGACCTGGGCCCAAAGACCCTTCTAGATAAAGAAAAAAAGCTGTGAAATCATCTAATTATAGACTGAATGAAACAAACAGGTGACTGAGCCCTGAGCAGAGGCTGGTGGCCACTTGACCAGCAGCTAAAAGGCTTTCTGTATCTGTTTCCCTGGACACAGGCGCGCTTGGGAAGCTTCAGCTACCTCCGCCCTTACTGCATTCCCAGGCCAGGCATTGGGCAAGGCTGAAGGGCTCACAGGAACACACTGTCCCTGCCCTAAGAAACACCCCTTCATGGCTCTGCTGCTCTCAGGGGAACAGCAGGAAACAGCAAAAGACCTCCCACACATTCCCCAGACAGAAAAAGGGAAAGGCCCTGGACTACACTTACTAGTGTAACTTTACCATCTGCCTTCAAATGCCCCAGTGCCCATCTATCGAACCAGCACAACACTGCCCTGCCTCAACACTAGCTAGATGGTTATCACTGCCAACTAACATACAGTGGCATATACCTGTAATCCCAGCAGCTCAGGAAGCTGAGGCAGGAGGATTGAAAGCTCAAAGCCAGCCTCAGCCTCATAGGGAGATCCTAAGCAACTCAGAAAATCCTGGTCTCAAATATAAAATATAAAGGGCTGGGGATGTTGCTCAGTGGTTAAGCACCCCAGGATTTTAACCCCCAGTACCCCACCCCCAATCAAAATGGAATTTAAAAATAGCTCTGTGGGTGTAGCTCAATGGTAAAGGCACAGTGGCACACACCTGTAATCCGGGAAACTCTGGAGACTGAGACAGGAGGACCAGCTCAAGACCTGCCTGGGCAACTCAGTCAGAACCTGTCACAAACTAAAATTTAAGAAGGGGTTAGGAATACGGTTTGTTTCCAGGATGCCCCTGGTGCAATGCCAGTACCAGGAAAAACCAAAACAAAATCTATGCTCTTTGCAGTCCCATTGCAACCTGCTTATACTCTTCTGCTTTTTTGCCTTAGCTGGCCACTTCTGTCCCACCCAAACACACGAAAGGAACTCTGATTCCACCAATAAGAGAAGCCTCCATGGTACCAACCCAGAGATTTCAGGTTCTCCTTGCCTGTCTTCCCAAATGCCCTTCCTGTAATCTCTGATGGGTCTTCCATGGCCCATGCAAAGGTTCCCTCCACTCACCCTATGACAAAACCGCTATACAAAAACCAAGCTGAAAATATAAGCGTAACCTTAGGTCTCTCTTTGGCCTTTCAGACACAAATAGATGATGACCAAGCAACGTGGCCACTTGAGCACCTAGCAGGCATCCCAAGCAGAACCAAAGTTTAACCCCCGATTCTCCCTACTCCAGCACCTGGCCTCTCCCTCGTAACTCCCACACTGCTTGGTCCTGGAGACTTCCACCCTCTCCAACATCACTAAGCCCACACAAACCATCACAGTCCTATCCATCCTAGCCTGACCTAGCTCCCAAATGTTCCAATTCCATCCCCTCCTCTAGCTCTACCAGCACCCTGCTTCTTATCCTTAACCACTCCAAGAGCCTCACGCTGCAGAGGTAAACTGCCAACTACAGAATCCGTCACTAGGATCCCCTGGGCATGCAGTGGACAACATCAGCCACAAGGGACACTGTCCCCTCAACTGGGGATTAGAGGAACATTCACTGTAACAACAAATGCCAGGTTTGAGGCAGGAGAGGTACAAGATGAGCCCAGGACTTATAGCCAAGCAAAAGTAAACAACTATCAAAAATCATAGGCTGGTCAAGAAAAGACAGCTCTGTCAGCTTAGAGGTATCCAACAAAGGCCAGGCAAATGCAACCTTGGTTTCTGGATCGGCTCTTGGAACGGAAAAGGAACTACAGCATGGGAAGCAGAGGGAACAATACTGCCCCAAGTGAATTTCTTCATTTTGAGAAACACACCATGGTTACGTAAGATATTCTATTAATAAAAGTTGGGTGAAAAACACACAAGAAACTTACTTTCCTTGATTCTCTTATGAATTTAAACTTATTTCACAAACTGAGGTGTAGCTCAGTAGTAGAGTGCTTGCCTAGCATAAGCCAGGCCCTGGATTCAATCCCCAGGTCCCCAATAAATAAACACATACACATGAATAAATGCATGCCTAAACAAATAATAGAAGCCAGGTATGCTGGTGCCTGTCTATAATCCCAGCAACCTGGGAACCTGATATGCTGAAGCAGGAGGATCTCAAGTTCAAGGCTAGCCTAAGCAACCTAGTGAGATATTGTCTTTAAAATACAAGGTTTGGAAATGTAGCTGGGTGCTGGAATGCCCCTGGGTTCAATCCCCAGTAAGGCAGTGGGAGGGGTGGGGGAGGGCAAAGATGATCTTCCAATAACAACAGGAGGGGAGTATCCAGGGGTGTGGGGGTGAACATGCAGGACATGAACCACCGAGTTAGAAAACCCATCTACAAGGATGTCATGTCCTCACTAGGGATGGAAACTAGGAATACTCTACCACTGAGCAACATCAGGTCTTCCACGTCCACCCATTCTGCTAAAGGAACACTGAGGCTCACTTCCAATAACCCACAATAAAACACTTCATGATTCAAGTAAATCCTTTTGCAATACCAACCTACTTGGAGCAAATATTTTTTTAAATGACAGCAGCTACTTAGCAGAAGTAAAAATCATGATTTCAGGGTTTGTCAACTTATTTGATCCCAAGTACTGCTATCTGACCTTTAACATTCCAAGACCCAGAACAAAAAACAGTGAGCTAATCTTCCAAGACAGGATCGAAGGACAAGCAGCTGGCTGCTGTCTGGAACCTGCTAGTCAGAATCCAGAGTTAAGGGGTTGTCTATGATCACCTCCTACAACCACCCTCGCCATCTCCAAGGCAGGTCCTGACTTGAAACCAAGGGTTGTCTTCTCCCTGATCCTGCTCCACAGGTCTCCAGGGAATGTTCACCCTCTGGTACATGTTCAGTTTTAGAAAGCAGATCTTGGTTTCTCTTCCACACAGCTGCCTATGTAGGGGCTTTATCATGGTGCTTCCCTCTCTTGACTAGTATTTTTTTTTTTTGCATTACGATTCTTTTCTTAAATTTTGTTTAGTTGTAGATGGATACAATAACTTTATCTTTATTTGTTTTTATGTGGTGCTGAGGATAGAACCCAGGGCCTCACACATGCTAGGCAAGCACTCTACCGCTGAGCCACAACCCCAGCCCTACAATTCTTATTACACATATATACCACAATTTTTCATATCTGTTTGTATATAAAGTATGTTGACACCCAATTTGAGTCTTCATACATGTATTCTGGATAATGATGTCCATCACATTCCACCATCCTTGCTTATCCTCTGCCCCCTCCCTTTCCCTCCCACCCCTCTGCCCTATCTAGAATTCATCTATTCCTCCCATGCTCCCCCTCCCTACCCCACTATGAGTCAGCCTCCTTATATCAGAGAAAACACTGGGCATTTTGGGGGGGGATTGGCTAACTTCACTTAGCATTATCTTCTCCAACACCATCCATTTTCCTGCAAATGCCATGATTTTATTCTCCTTTATTGCTGAGTAAAATTCCATTGTGTATATATGCCACATTTTTTTAAATTTTTTTTTAATATTTATTTTTTAGTTCTCGCAGACACAACATCTTTGTTGGTATGTGGTGCTGAGGATCGAACCCGGGCCGCACGCATGCCAGGCGAGGGCGCTACCCCTTGAGCCACATCCCCAGCCCGCCACATTTTTTTTATCTACTCATCTACTCTAGGGCATCTAGGTTGGCTCCACAGTTTAGCTATTATGAATTGTGCTGCTATAAACATTGATGTGGCTGTGTCCCTGCAGTATGCTATTTTAAGTCTTGGGTTAGGTAGAGGGATAGCTGGGTCAAATGGTGGTTCCATTCCCAGATTCCCAAGGAATCCCTATATTGCTTTCCATATTGGCAGCACCAATTTGCAGTCCCACCAGCAATGTATGAGTGTGCCTTTTTTCCCTCACATCCTCAACAACACTTATTGTTGCTTATCTTCATAATAGCTGCTATTCTGACTGGAGTGCTGCAATAGTGACTCTCTACTACTTCTATTCCCTTCTAAGAAACCCAACCTACCTGGTCCCTCCCCTCTGAGCATGTCCCAATGTTGCAGGCTCTTAGCAGGAATCCAACATGAATGCTCAGAGACAGTCTAGGTAGACTGCCATCTACAGAAGAGAGTAAGACTCCTATATCTCTTTCTAAACCAGTGCAGTGGGAAGGCAATTGTGACTCTCCTGGTAACAATAAAACTCTAAAACTCTGATAAACACCCAGGTCTTTTTTTTAATATTTATTTTTTAATTGTAGTTGGACACAATACCTTTATTTTATTTACTTGTTTTTATGTGGTGCTGAGGATCGAACCCAGGCCTTGCATGTGCTAGGCGAGTGCTCTACCACTGAGCCACCCAAGCCCCCCCCCTTTTTTTTAAAGAGAGAGAGAGAATTTTTTAAATATTTATTTTTTTTTTTTTAGTATTCGGCGGACACAACATCTTTGTATGTGGTGCTGAGGATTGAACCTGGGCCGCATGCACGTCAGGCGAGCGTGCTACCGCTTGATCCACATCTTCAGCTCCCACCCAAGCCCCTTTTTATTTTTATTATTTTTTTTTTTAGTTGTTATGGACCTTTATTTATTTGTATGTGGTGCTGAGAATCGAATCCAGTACCTCACACATGCCAGGCGCGCACTCTAACACTGAGCCACAACCCAAGCCGCCCCCAGGTCTTTTTGAACCTGGGATTACTTGAACCTGGGATTACTATCCTGCCTTTGCATTATCTTTTGGAGCAGATGAAGAGAGTTCACAGCTTGGTTCATTGTCCAACCAAACAAATCTGCTATGATAACAATGCTTTAATTCTGATTGACCTTGCCCATACAAACTTACTATTTATGGGCTGGGGATATAGCCCAGTGGTACAGTGTGTGAGGCCTTGGGTTTGAACTCCAGAACCACAAAAAGAAAAAAAACAGGGGCTGGGGTTGTGGCTCAGTGGAGGAGCGTTTGCCTAGCGCACATGAGGCACTGGGTTCAATCCTCAGCACCACATAATAAAAATAAAGGTATTGTGTCCACCTACAAATAAAAAAAAAAATTTTAAAAAAAAAGAAAAGAAAAACCCAAACTTGCTGTTTGTAACATCTATGCTAGCTCTGAGAACAACAGAAGCCATTAATTCCGGAGAAAGATAATGCTGGGCATGCAGTGGTACATGCCTATAATCCCAGAAACAAGAAGGATAAGGTTGGAGGGCAGGCTGGGCGTGGTAGCACATAACTGTAATCCCAGCGACTTGGGAGGCTGAGGCAGGAGGACTGCCAGTTCAAAATCCAGCCTCAACAATGGCAAGGAGCTCAGCAACTCAGTGAGACCCTGTAGGGTTGGGGATGTAGCTCAGTGGTTGAAAGCCCCCCCACCAGTTCAATCCCTGGTAATCACCCCCCACACACACACACAAAAAAAGGTAGGAGAGGACAGTTTCAAGGCCAGCCTCAAGCAAACTATAAAATGCTCTAAGCAAAAAAAAAAAAAAAAAAAAAAAATTTAAAGGTTGTAATTTTGGTAAAGCACTCTGGGTTCAATCCCCAGAGTGCACACACAAAAAAAAAGTTCAGTGAAGACAGGCAAGTAAACACAAATCACAACTAACAAACTCCATATAGAATGTTAGGGAAGGAGCATGGAGTCACTGGGGCAGACAAAGCTGATATTTACTGAGGAAGGGAAAATCAGGAATAATAACCCCGTACAGAGAAGATAGAAAAAATTCCGACACAAATCACAACATACGCAGCACTCAAAATCTAAAA